CATATCTTGATATACTCTGTCTGGGTTTAATAACCCTTGGTATAACGTGGAAGCAAAAGTACACTTTACATTTGCATGAATAAACACTGGGGAAGAAAGTGAAATCCATGCTATGGAATTTACAATTGCATCACTCAATCCATATTGTTTCCTTACTATATCCAATATACCAATTGCAAATTCCATACTATGGTCCATATAGTATGGAATTTGCAATTGGTATGAAAATTGGGATTTCCCTACTATTTCCAACGAAGATCCGAGCTATTTTCATAGTAAGGATTTTGAAAAAAAAGTGAAAGCTAAGATTATATCATCTTAATTAATTTTTCTTAAATAAAGATACAAAACACGTTCATCATGCTGGGATGTTACTGTTGACATTTTTTTATAGAACACATCATTAAGATCACCTACGCGCGTAAAAACGCTCAGGTTGATGCAATATTGATGAAAACAGGATTGAACATTGTTTTGCTGCCCACATTATTCACAGTTGTCAACAATATTGAACAATATTGTTATACCCTATTCAGGCTCAACAATACGGTTAAAATATATTGTTGACAAGTGTGAACAGCATGGGCAGCAAAACATTGTTCAATCCTGTTGAACAGCGAGCTCGGCGTTTTTTTCCGTGTCCAGGACACCTTTTGTGGCTTCTGCGGAGAATCGCTATTGCGCGCTTGACATATGTCCACTTTTTATCAAATTTTCATCAAATGTTCAATGAATTATTCACGAATTTTTAAAATTCCGTTGCCTTCACGCCTCTGAGTTATGCTGATGCCGATTTTAAGATATAATTTTTCAAAATCATATTTCAGATTTTTGGAATGAATCGCTCGTAAACACCAAATATCCAAAATTCGAATAAAGCCCGGCATGTTTTTGTAGCTGAGATTCTCGATTTTCAGCTGTGAAAATTTCCGAAAAAAGCCCGTTTATAAAACTGACCAGAACAAACTTCATTCAAAAATCAGAAATTACCGAAAAAATTTAGTCGAGACAATCGAATTTATATATATTACAGCGATTTCCCGGATTGTTTTACTTAATTTAAAACGCCACGCTAATTACATGTAACAACTTTGAGAAAACCCGGACTTGACTTCTGGAAACCTGGACTCCAAATAGAAAATAACGGAGTCGAAGCAAGGACTCTGTGTACGAGAACGAAAAGGTTTTTGGCAAACGTTTAAGTAATAGATAAAATACGAGCGGCCGATCTGTATGGGCATTTACAATGGCGAGCGGATAACGCGACCCTTTGTAAATGAGAAATCAACCATTCCATTGACAATAATAGTACTGTAACTAGAAATACAAGCATGCAGCAACCTCTCGCCTGTATTTTTCAAACATTGATTTAAGTATTAGTAATTGATCAACACTGAACGCAGGCTCGCGTTTACCTCAGTGTTGCCATGGCAACACGATAATTATTATATTTTTTGTACAACACGCCAAAAATAGTTGAACGATTATTGCTTTTAACTATAGAACAATAAATTTCTGAAATATGTACTGTAGGTATGTTGTTCTGCATTTTGTGAGCTTTGATTTAATGTAAAATTTAACCTGACGAATCGCTTTGTAAAATGTTTTGAAATGTTTATTTTAATAACTATACACTGCTTTTTCCGATGGACTGTTTTTACTTAATGAAACAAAATAAGTTCAAATTGTTGAGTAATTTCAGTTCGGTTTTCAAATTAATTTGCTCTCCTTTATATTTTACCTTTTTTTCTTAAATTAAACAGCATAATTTATCAAACTTTAATACAGTTCTATTGAAGAGGAAAGCAGTGCATGTTTTACGCAATAAATTAAAGCAACAAAATTCACAAACATTACTCATTTAAAGAAACTTGCAAGATATTTATCGATTTTCCACAGTAAATCAATTCTTCTCATTTCTTCAAACAAAAATTGCTTCAAAGCTCATTGTGTGAAACGTGATTTTCCAAATATATGCTTTTGAAAATTGCCAAATCTTGCTTATCCCACTCCTGGCAAACAGCCATATTTTTGAGATCAGTGAGGATGATCACCCACCGTTGGTCACCCACGCCCGCGCGATCATTGATGGACTTTAGACTTCGCTAATCCTCCCTTTTCCCGGGTATAAATAATCGGACGGAATTAGTACCCTCGCGCCGGGCTAACGCCGGGAACGGCGCTCCGCGCCATTGGCTCGAGGATGAATAATTAGGTTTGTGAATGAGTAATGGCTATGAACGAACAATTTAAAATAATTATACAGTATAATGAATAATTATATATGTAGACAGTCATGTACTCCCATTGGTGCTATACCCATCATTTAGTTTGAATTTCCAAGTCACGCAACGTTGATTACACACTTGTTTATTGCATTTCAAAGTTAATAACTTGGTTGAAGCAAACATGGCATTCCAATGTTTTCGTGCGGCAAAAACTACAGACGAAGAAAGGTGTTTGCTTGCAGAAACGACACCGAAAATCACTGCATATAGTACGAAATGGGCTTTGAAGGTTTTCGAAGAGTGGCAGTCTACTCGCTCAAACAAAATAGCGTCGAAAGAGCCCGTTAGCTTTGAAGGAGTGGTTTTTCTTTGAAGGAGTGGCGAGTGTACAAAACTTAAGCGTGCCTATAGATGAAATGACGACATAGTCCTTAAACTTCTGGTTATCTAAGTTCTGGTTATCTTTTCTCACTTTGAAGGAGTAGCGAGTGTACAAAACTTAAGCGTGCCTATAGATGAAATGACGACATATTCGTTAAACTTCTGATTATCTAAGTTCGTAATGGCAGTAGCAAAGCGAAATAGTGTGAATGGTACTCGCCTAGAAGTTTGTACTTGTTGGTATGTGGAATAAATCGCCATTTACTCGAGTTGAAGAAGAATAATGGCGTCAGTATTTTGGCGAAAGGAGGTCGAAGGTTAGTATCTTGGAATTCATAATCATTTCTGAATTTGTTATTAATCAATAGATGGCTTTAAATACTAATGTCACACTGTTGTAGAAGGGATAACCTGAAGTTCATGCCCTATTCACAGAATAGGGCCTGACACAAAACCTATCTAAAGTGTGAGATTCCCGTCCACCTGGTGGACGGGAAATCTGATTGGTTGATCAGCATCATGAAGGATTTTGATTGGTTGCAAGTTTACATAAACAACAGTTTTAAAAATAGCTCGGTCAAGGCGACAATTAATATAAAGGTCAAACGCACGTACAAATTCCATTATCGATTTCTTCGAATTTCTTTTTCTTTTATGCTTTATGGCAGAAAATAAATCAAACAAACAGTATTTTGAAAGGGCTTTATCAAAATCTTGGACGAATTTTGGACACACGACGCCGAAAGAACAGCCAAACTAGTCATGTATTCGAAAGCTTGTTGTTGACAGCCAAGATGTTTTGCCAACTGGCTTCGCCGGCAAAATTCTTATTTTTAATATCAGGTCCTACCGGCGTTGTTTTCTGAGCTACATCGCCTTCTTCGTGGTACGATTGAGAATTTCATTGTTGCTGTTGTTAGCCCGTTTTAATAAAGTATATCCCTAATATCCGCGTCCAGCAAGTTGAGACCTTGAGAAAGCTTGGCAGTCTAGCCGTGCACAGAACTGACTAATTAAATCTTTGTCTGAATCTTATTTATATAAAAGTACCTTGAATTTTTAAGTTTAATTATAAAGCAAAATGCACACTCTGCGGACATGTTCATGAGAATATAATTTTTTGTGTAACGAAATCTATAACACTTGTCAATCATATTGCATGTTGTGTCTAAAAATAACATGTGGGCGTCCCACGGTCTAGACAGGTTTTGTGTCAGGCCCTATTTCAAATTAGGGCCTGAACATCAGGTTAAGACATACAGAGACGTAACTAGTGTACCCACTTTTTTTGTGCGCGTGCTCGGCAAGTTACTACACAGCCAGAAATCTCACAGACCTGTCGCAAGCTGTTGATTTTACCGGCTTGCGGCAAGTTGTCAACAAGTCGCGACAGGTCTGTTGGTTTCGTCAGGCGGTAACAGGCTTGCGGTAACAGGTCTGTCGCAAGCTGTTGACAACAGAGCCGTAGCGACTTGTTGAAACAACCCGCTACAAACCTGTTACTAACAAGAGATAACAGGTCTGATAGAACAACTTGCAGCAAGTCTGTTGAAATCAACAGGTCTGTTACAACTTGTTCCAACAGATCTGTCGCGAGTTGTTTTTGTCAAGTCTGCAGCAAGCTTGTTATCAGACCTGCGACAAACCTGTCCACAACAAACAATTTTTGTCCTGTCACAACAAGTTTCAACAAGCCTGTTGTTGGGAAACAAACCGAAAGTGTTAATAAAGAGATATAAAATCGCACGAAATGGACACTTCCGGCCTCACTTTCTCATTTAATCATTGTCATTGGTGGCAATATTAAATCACATAGGAGAGATTATAGTCCATAGTATCTATTCTCTGATTATTATAAAATGCAAAAGCCGCTGTTTTATTTTTTTTTAAAAAGTTCCGATTTCCAAAATCCAAATTCCAATTTGCTGACGTGTGCTATCGCTATATTTCCTTAATCTGATTGGATAAACGCGTGTGTACACGTCATCATTCCTCGTTGCAATTGGGCGAAATATTACAAACATATCAATCACGTAATCATGTTTAGTTGTTTTTGAATTTTGAGCCAAACAAAATTTCAACAACTGCCTCAAACAAAATCAAACAAGTTCAAAGCTGTTTTGATTTTTGAAGAAACTGTAGCAATGAGAATACAAGATCTAGAGCTTAAGAAATGAACAATACATGAACAACCGAGTGTTCACTGCAACGTTCGTCATTGCTGATATGAACATGAAATTCGTTATATAATTTCTTTCCAATTTCAAGTGAAATCTGCGAGCGAGGAAGACGCCTTATTGAAGCTTTGTGTTTATGGTATGTACTGTTTTGAAGAAAAATATGCAAGTAGGTTGTCATATTTCGGTCGTACTTCAAGACAAATAATTTTGAAAATTGTTTACGATAAGAACCTTTCTTGAATTTGTCGTATTTTTTTGGCTGTTTTGCTCAAAAATTATTTCGCAAGTTTGTTTATAAAACTTTATATTCATATATAAAAATCATCTCGCAAGTTTGTTTATAAAACTTTATATTCATATATAAAAATTATCTCGCAAGTTTGTTTGTAAAACTTTATATTTCAAACTTCTATTTCACGAAACACTACAACCGAAATATGGCAACCTGTTTGGCCGTTTTTTGTTCAAAATAGTGGATAGACAAGCTTCATAAGGCGCTTTCCTCGGTTTGCAACAGGTCTGTCGCAAGTTGTTGAAAACAGCATTGCTGCAGCTCTGTGTCAACAACTTGCGACAGGCCTGTTGAAAACAGCATTGCTGCAGCTCTGTCACAACAGCTTTTAACAGACCTGTTGAAAACAGCATTGCAGCAACTCTGTTACAACAGCTTTTAACAGACCTGTTGAAAACAGCATTGCAGCAGCTCTGTCACAACAGCTTGTAACAGACCTGTTGACAGGCCGTTGCAGGTCTGTCAGAACAGACAGGTACAAGGCGAGCGAACGCATCCAGATATCGGCTTGTTGACAACAGGATTTAACAGATCTGTTGCAGATCTGTTCCGACTTGCGCGTTTCTGGCTGTGATATATGGTGGAGTGGGTAAACATGGAAAGGGGTTATACAATGTTCACCTTTCCTGTGGTGGGTCTTTGATTTTGGTGGAGTCTTGGGGGGGGGGGAGATTAAAAAATTGTCGCCACTGTTTTCTACATAGTCAGACAATCACATATACGATTAGAATCGCATCATGTAGTCTGAGGGGGACATACACTTTTATATAATTAGGGGGTCTTCATTATTAAGAGCATCATCAAGGGGGAGGGGGATCCCATGAGATTTTTCTATATGATATAAGAATCTCCCACCACACCTTAAGGTATAATAATGAACAGTCCCCAAACGTAGTTAATTTGCTGAGAACAAACATAAACCGTGTAATAACTCAATATTTGTGTGAAAAACAAGAGAGAAATTAAATGGCATTTCGAATTGGCTCATATTTATGAGGTTGGAATTCAAGAATCCGACAATTTAAAATAGAATTTCGTCAGTATAAAAACAGAAAATTGATTTAATGAATACATACAGTAAAGTAAATTGATGCTTTCTGGCCATTTGGAAGTTCAAATTCTTGGGGAAAGATGTCCTGAAAATAAATATCACTTCTTCAATCTTTTTGAATTACCGTTTTTGGTATATAAGCTTTTAAATTAATACCGACATAACAAATTTGAATAAAACAATTACAGTGCGTAATATTCACTCTTTAACACTGCAAACTCTCGCATACAAAGCGTACTGTACGTTGGGGGTCATCATGCAATCCTCATCATTCCTACTCTCTGTTATGCGTGTGAAAATGCTGATAATTGTGGACGACCCCTTAAGGACCTTTACCCTATCTATCAGATTTAGCTTATTCGCTGCCCACCTGTTATTGGCGTGCAGTGTTACTACAGTATAAGCAGCCGGTGCATTTGGAAAACCCTGGAATTTCAGATAGAAATATAGCTTGAGAGTAAATTCGCTGTTTTCACCACTCGTATTGTTGCACAACTTTGAAAATAATAGTTTTCTATTTCATATCCTCCCCACTCAAATTATTTTAAATCACCATCTCGAATTGTTGACAACGTTGTATCCCAGATTAATAAACCACGTTGCAGTCATGTTTCTCGAGGTTGCACAATATAGTAAATGTTAAAGAGGTTTTCTTAATACATGAACAAACATGTGGATATGCTCCGGTTGTTTGCTCGAAGGCAGCATAGACACGGCGAACAGACGTGATAAAGAAAGCCAAGAGACAGAAGAATGCAAGTTTAGAAAGATAACTTGTGAATCTTGTGATGAACAGTTGGTGTACGTTGATTATAAAAAACACCAGTGTACGCTAAGAAAATAAATCAACGAAGTTAAATCACGCTTGGATGAAATGAGCGATGCACTAAAACAAGTATGTCACACATTTAATTGAAAACTGTCTGTTTTTCCCATGTAACAAATCATTTTCGTTCCTTCACGGGAAGAGAAAAATGCTTTTTGGTGGCATGGATTCAAAGCGAATTTAATAGCCTTCTCACGGCCTATTTTCCCGCGATTTTTTGGGCACTGCCTCTCGCACGTTTGAGAGTCGCCGCACCACGAAATACAACTTTTTAGTATTGTAGTTGCTTGTATAATGGTAAATTTACAATAAATAAATATACAACTTTTAAAAGTCGCTCTTCACGTTGTTTGAATGGCCTAGAATCTTTCACGAGGGCAGACAGTACCCCCAAAATGGTGGATTTTGGCCTTCGTGAGAAATTCTAATTAGCCTTTCTCACACCGCCATTCTTGGGGTACTTTTTTGCCAATCCTGCGAGCGTAACATCGACATTTTATGATTTGGTGGGTGTATGATCAACTGGTAAATTTACTCTGTAAATAGTTAGTTTGTTCTGAAATATTGCTTTTCACATTGTTATAATCGTTTAAGAAAAATTACAGTACCCCAAAAATGGCAGCGTGAGAAAGGCTAATTGAATTCTTTAATCCAAGTGAGAGCGGTTTCATCTCAAATTTCCTGGAAAATTACCAGCTTGCGGTGATAATGGTGTTCAGTTTGGAAATCGAATTATTACTTTCATGGGCGTACGGGAAGGAAAAAATTAGGGGAAGGAAGGAACTTTGCTGGAAATGTTGTATATCTTGAGTTCCTATTTTCAAACTGTGAATACAATGTATATATCGATGGTTTACTGAAGAAATATATGTAATCCTTAAACACAACTTAACATTTTCACACTTCATTCCAGCCTAGCATCTTTACCAGGGGTGACCTGTTAATCATTTTGAACCAGCATGGGTGTTTAAATTAATAATATTTAACAGGTGACTTTAAATCACTCAACATTTGTGAGACAAAGTCAAGGGCACAAAGGTGGACAAATAAAAGTTAAACGAGGAGTAAGGAGTTGCTATCATAAGGTGTTGCCTCAAACATGATGCTCTCAAAAATTAAATTGGCAAAAGGCCTGTGCACACATTGGGATATTGTGCATTGGTTAAAATGTAAATAACACCATGAAGGAGCACATTGCTCTATAGGGAGAATATTGCTCTTATAATATAAGGAGAATATATATAAGGAGAATATTGCTCTTTGAACAGTGGAATGAGTGCTTAAGCAAACAGTGGCTTTAGTGAATTTTTGAAGACATAAACAAATACATTTTACATATAATACACATTCATCCATATGGACATAAAAAACTAATCGATGGCCGATAGCAAATCAAGTGATGAACATGACAAGATATAGCAAATTCTGGAGTGAATTCTGGAGTGAATTCTGGAGTGAATTCTGGAGTGAATTCTGGATTCTGGAATGAATTCTGGAGTGAATTCTGGAGTGAATTCTGGAGTGAATTCTGGAGTGAGTGAATTCTGGAGTGAATTCTGGAATTCTGGAATGAATTCTGGAGTGAATTCTGGAGTGAATTCTGGAATGAATTCTGGAGTGAATTCTGGAGTGAATTCTGGAGTGAATTCTGGAGTGAATTCTGGAATGAATTCTGGAGTGAATTCTGGAGTGAATTCTGGAGTGAATTCTGGAGAAACATTATCAGACATAGGCATATCGTACACAGGGCAAATACTAGGAAAAATCAAGAAATCCAGGCAGATTTAAAAAATGATAAATTCAGGCTATTCCATTTCAATCCTCAATCCTTGCCCCAAAAGCACCAATCCCATACTCCTTAACTCCTGTGGTATCAGAGTCATGAATAGCCAGACTGCAGAGTTGGTCAACGTCGCACTCTACATTTTTTTAGGCACAAATTTCAGCACACCTGGGATGTACTTTATAACAAATTTTGCAATTTAATCTGCCCTCAAGTCTCTAATTTTCATTGTTTTTAACATGTATCTCGCTACTTTTGTGCCCTTGACTGCATCTTGATGCACACTTGGGAACTGTTTTGCGCACCCGCACTTCGATTTTCTAACATTTGCGCACCCGAGATCTCGTCGAAAAGTGACCAACTCTGCAGTCTGGATGAATAGTGTGCTGCCGTACGACAAAACACCAGTATGAAAATTGTTATAAGTCTTATAAAGGTCAGTTAAAGTGTGCTTAAATTTCCGCCTTGAAAAATCGTGGGTGCGATTTTGACTAGTCTATTACTGACTCTGCTGTCGGACACGTGGTGACATCGTCCCGATATTCTAGTTAAAATCGCAAATTGGCGTTTTGATTTTTACCCATATACTCAAATTAATTCACCCAACATGACACTACGGAGATTCAGACGAAAAATGTTGAAACTTACTTGCACAGCTAAGGACAATCCCTCATCCACAAGAAAATTGAATGATCCAATATGCGGCAAATACAAATCTTGCACGGCCTAAAAAACATTAATACCACATGCACAAACAGAAAAATGTTTGAAACGTGAAGCAAGATTTTCTTTACCTTATATTGGCTGTTTTTGAGCTTGCTATATTCAGGTGAAGTGAGATTTCGTAGCGAAGGCAAACTTTCTGCTTCATTTTCGTCCGCCATATTGCATTTTACACCCGATTCGAATGCTGGCGACTCCAAAGCGCAGAAATAGTCGCTGAAAAGCTCTACTGAAAAGCCAAATTAGCCTTTTTTCCCAAAAGAGATCACAGTGCATTCTGGGATCGTTTGGAGGTGCTATGGGCCTTATGGGGGTCGGCACGAAGCTCTAGGAAGATGTTCTGTGATTGGTTGATTATGACAATAATAAGCTATAGAATGGATTTTCTAAAGAACGAAGCAAGAACAATATTCCTTTTGTTTATGTAAGCCAATTACGTCTTTTGTCATTGTCATAATCAACCAGTCACAGAACATCTTCCTAGAGCTTCGTTTTTACTGGCTATGAGAGGTGAAAGAGTAGGAGTATCAACTTTTTAGACGACCAAAAATGAAATATCGGCTATTAGTAAAACACGGAGCACGGAGCACACGGACACGGAGCCCGGAGCACACGGAGCACGGAGCACACGGAGCACGGAGCACACGGAGCACGGAGCACACGAACTACGGAGCAGTAGAAAAACGAAAATCCTTTATAATAAAATACACTGTTTACTATTACAAATTTTTGTTCTTATTAATAAAGTTTTTTCGCGTTTTACACGTTGAGGAAGTAGAAAAATGGGGCTTTTACTGCACATATGATGCAAAACTGCCAAAAGCCATAGTATTGAAAATAGGATTGTGCCTGTGAAACTCGTCACATATCTATCAAGCTTATGAGTTATGTAGTTATATTATATTCCGATGGCCAACGCATTAAGAAACACTTAGAGAACAGCCGATATATTTCGTTACCCCTGCCAAAAAATAGCCAAGTGCTCATCTTTCAATGTAGCGGATCGACTGAACATTATAAAAGCTTGTCATGGAGAGAAGTGAATTTTCGGTTTATCCTTCGTCCCAGTGACCAGTGACCAGTGTGCTGTACGGCCTACGTTTAAACCGTTATACATAATTACTGCTTTCATTCTTTCAATCCGTTTTGAATATTCGGAATCATTCACTATTATATTATAAAACTGTATAAGATAGCTGTAGAACTATAAATGCTGTAGAATAAAATAAATAAAGAAAACTACGTTTTATCGCGGTATTTGCCGATAAATCGGTAACCGCTACAGAAAAACAGAACAAATGACAGTAAATCACAACAAACCGCGGAAGTGGGACAATTTTTGTATTTTTACTGTAATACATGCAGAATATGTACGAAATCCATACAGAAGTGTGTGTCTGTATTCTATACTTTTGAAACAACTAAATCAGACTTCGGAAAATTTGACAGTATTAAAGCTACTTTTGAGAATTTAGATTTTAGGTCTTTGTTTTAGGCTATTAGTAAAACACGGAGCACGGAGCACACGGAGCACGGAGCACGGAGTACGGAGCACACGGAGCACGGAGCACACGGAGCACGGAGCACACGGAGCACGGAGCACACGGAGCACGGAGCACACGGAGCACGGAGCACACGAACTACGGAGCAGTAGAAAAACGAAAATCCTTTATAATAAAATACACTGTTTACTACAAATTTTTATTACAAATTTTTGTTCTTATTAATAAAGTTTTTCGCGTTTTACACGTTGAGGAAGTAGAAAAATGGGGCTTTTACTGCACATATGATGCAAAACTGCCAAAAGCCATAGTATTTAAAATAGGATTGTGCCTGTGAAACTCGTCACATATCTATCAAGCTTATGAGTTATGTAGTTATATCAGTATATTCCGATGGCCAACGCATTAAGAAACACTTAGAGAACAGCCGATATATTTCGTTACCCCTGCCAAAAAATAGCCAAGTACTCATCTTTCAATGTAGCGGATCGACTGAACATTATAAAAGCTTGTCATGGAGAGAAGTGAATTTTCGGTTTATCCTTCGTCCCAGTGACCAGTGAGCAGTGTGCTGTACGGCCTACGCCGGTTTAAACCGTTATACATAATTACTGCTTTCATTCTTTCAATCCGTTTTGAATATTCGGAATCATTCACTATTATATTATAAAACTGTATAAGATAGCTGTAGAACTATAAATGCTGTAGAATAAAATAAATAAAGAAAACTACGTTTTATCGCGGTATTTGCCGATAAATCGGTAACCGCTACAGAAAAACAGAACAAATTACAGTAAATCACAACAAACCGCGGAAGTGGGACAATTTTTGTATTTTTACTGTAAGACATGCAGAACATGTACGAAATCCATACAGAAGTGTGTGTGTATTCTATACTTTTGAAACAACTAAATCAGACTTCGGAAAATTTGACAGTATTAAAGCTACTTTTGAGAATTTAGATTTTAGGTCTTTGTTTTACATGTACCCAGTAAATATTTTTGAGTTTTGAACTCTGATTTTCACAAGCTTACAATTTGTTTACAATTTACTCTGCCTCTGGCTCTGCAGAGTTGATCGGAATTGTAACAAATACGCGTACACTTAAATGGCTTCCTGAATTTAGTCAATCAGATGTGTAAAAATTACTCGTTTCAATTTTATGTTTATGCTCGAAACTGCTCATGTTTACAATAGCAATTCTAACAATCTTGCCCTCCTTTTCGCCTTTGAGGCGTTGGCGTTGATTTATACACAAAATTCAAAACTCAAAAATATTTACTGGTCTGGGTACATGTAAAACGAAGACCTAAAATCTAAATTCCCAAAAGCAACTTTAATACGGTCAAATTTTCCGAAGTCTGATTTAGTTGTTTCCAGTGGCGGCGCCAGGCTTCCAAATTTGGGGGGGCATTTGAGGGGCAAACTCAAATTTGGGGGGGGCAAGATAGAATTTTTAAAAGGTCGCCCCCCCCAGGAAATTCGCGCCCCCCCCTCAAAACGTGGCGATATTCCTAGGAATATTGCCCCAGGGGGCGAATATCCTAGGAATATCGCCTCCCAGGGGGTGGGGCGAATACCCTAGGAATATCGCCCCGTTTTAGGACATTCGCCCCCCATATATGCGATGTGGTTTATTCAAATAATTTCGTGATACTTTCATCTTATTATTGCCTTACACGTTTGAGAATTTAACTCTGCAAAACTAAAGCTTTTTTGTCTTTTTTGAAACGTATTATTGGAGTATTGGCAAGTTTTACCATTCAGAGATTTACAAACTAATATTGAAACTGTAAAAAACAGTTTCATGTATACGCGCATTCACTAATGAGTAATGACAACTTATAAGCCATACATTTTCCGATAACGACAGAACGCTTGTGTAGCCTTTAGTCGCTCTTAGTGACTAATAATTTTTTTGAGGGGGGGGGGGGCAACATGGGGGGCAAAAAATAATTTGGGGGGGGGGGCATTTGCCCCCCACCCTGGCGCCGCCACTGCGGAGGGGCTATGTTCCCCGACAGAGGGGCTATGCAAATGTTTTCATGGTTAAGCGTACAATATATACTAACATATTTTATATACTTAAAATATACAGTTCAGCGAGGATGATGCGTTCTTTATAAAATGTACGAATCAATATATTACGGGACTCACCGAACTGTGGAAACGCATCAAAAATTCGTATCGCCGCCACTCCCACAAACGTCTACGACCGCACCTACATATTTTTGCATGTTTACAATTTTAATTTTAAACAGCCAATCGACGTTTCATTGTAATTGTTGTCAAGAACCGGATTGGCTGTTTAAAATTAGAATTGTAAAGATGCAAAAATATGTAGGTGCGGTCGTAGACGTTTGTGGGAGTGGCGGCGATACACGGCTTTACTCGGACGAGTATCAGACTTATCCAACTCAGTGGTTACGGGTGCCTGACGACCAGACGCGTGAAGGTCTTTGTGTTTAGATTTTGTATGTTTCCCGACGTAGTCGTTTTGAAAACCTCATGACAAACTGTGCAACGAGCTTTAGAGCGTACGGCCAAATACGTTTTTAGAGCGAGTATTGCTTTCCGATTTCCAAATTGGAGATTGATTGCCGGTTGTTCACGTAGAAAGTCATTGATGTCCTCTTGAGTGCGCCAAGCGAGATAGACGAAGATATCTTTACTGTATATAAGTTATTTACATAAAATGCGCAAGTCTACGTTTATATATGCTATGCGAAAGCTACATTCAGGGCCGTAGCCAATGATAATTGCGGTGAGCATTCATATATTCATGTTTACATACCGTAAAAACAATCGATTTCAAAAGAAATCCGTCGGGCAGACTGACGAATATATGAATATGCATCCCCCCAATTATCGTTGTGGCTACTGCCCTGCCTACATTTAGACTATGAGGTAATTATAATGTTGTCATTTAGCGTGCTATATTTATGTAATGATGTCTGGTACGTAAGCGAACTTGCGTAACGCATGTAATATATTAAGTGTAGCTAGTGCAGAAGTGAATGAATATTAATGTAAATGATTCATTAACATATTAGCGAGCTTAAGATCTACAACGCGAACTTACGACGCGGACGTGCTTAGCTAAGCCTAGTTTTCGAGTGTAAGCCTAGTCAGAGTTGTCACAGTTTATTTCTGCGAGATTTGTGACACTGTTATGACACGTTAACAGCCATACGAAATGATAGAAACCAGGCTTTATAGACTATTGTTACGAATGCACATTTTCCCGCCAAAACTACCATCCGAGACGACGTGATATTTGCAAAGACTCGTCGTCATAGAAGTCGTAAAAACTTATGATAAAAATTATCTTGTTAATATATTGCTAGCCTCTGTTATGTTGTACATTTTTTCCAGTATAATTTCATTTTATTTACTGTGATAAAAATATTTTAATGGTATTTGCCATCGTTTTAAAATAAAACTTGTTTAATGCGACGTCCGCGTCGTAAGTTCGCGTTGTAGATCTTAAGCTCGCTAATAGCGACCTTGGCGCCACCGGCCCACCACTGAATATAACGTTGACGTTTAAAATTTTTTCGCCAGTGAACTCATAAGATGCGTCGTTTTTAAGCCATTCAAAACACTCGCAGTCCGTGCTTTAATAGCTTTACCAGATATAAGACACTCGGCTGTCGACTCGTGTTTTATATCTGATAAAGCACTCCAGCTCGTGTTGTAAATAGTACTTATTACTTTATTTTCCTCACATGATACTCTGCTGTAGCCAATACGCAACCTCGTACCCAGGGACTTTCCTCTTGGAGAGCAAAGACCCTGGTAGACGCTGGTCACGTGATCTGCTAAAATCTAGCAGATTTTTAATTAGCAATCCAAGATCCGGTCAATAAACATTTGATATTTGGATTATTTTGATAGTTTAATTTATAATTTGCATTTTGTATGATTGTCGTAAAGAAAACCAAGATAGTTAATTAGAAATCTGCTAGATTTTAGCAGATCACGTGACCAGCGTCTACCAGGGTCTACCAGGCTCCCCAAGAGGAAAGTCCCTGGGTACGAGGTTGGCCAATACCTGGTGAAGTAGCCTATATTGATCCAATCCTATATTGATCCAATCCTATACTGGCTATAGACCGATTAAAAATTAATTCAGTCCTTGGACTGGATCAAAGTTAATTCACCTCACTTCAAAATAGCTTGGATATCTGTTAAAGTCCTCATAGTCAGATATGATCTAGCCTGCGAACAGGCCCTGGGTTGCGGGCGGCGCGAAGAATAGAGGGCCTGCACGGATGATAGGTTTTCTTGGTAGTGGCGTTCGTATAGAAACGCAGGCTTCTGATTGGCTTACACTCGTTGACAAAATTACTAAAAATAGCAAATGTCAACAACAGCATTTTGAATAATTTGAACTTTATTCATTTTAATATTATATATTATAGGACCATCGAACAAATAAAACTAGAAATGGAAACCAAAAGCAATAGAAAAGCATCACAGCAAAAAAGTCTATCATAAATGACTTGAATCTATCGCTTAAATCCAATATACGAAACTATAACAGTATTCTGAACTTCGTCTTCGGATTGACATCAGACCATAGTATAGTACATTTTGAGGTCGTCGTGGCTTCACGGATTATTCTCATTAGTGAGCAAGTCAGCAAGTGAAGGCATACAAAAGATACCCAAATATGTACGAATAATTATATTGTCGATCCTCGCTGGCATGTCATTTAGATAAATATATATCGTACATTAAACGTTGTACTGTTTACTGTATATTAACTGCTGACAATTTCGTCGTCGATACGGCTTCCACTATTGGCACACTTGTGATTTCGAAGAAATTAATAAATACATGCTCATTTATCATTTATTTAGACCACAGTTAGTAAAATTTTAAACGTATTCGGTATTCCAAATCCCAATCTATCTGACCGTATTTTAGTAATAGCTTCAAAATATTCAGAACATTGTTCTTTCAGTCGCACATAGTACAAGTATTTATACTGTACATTCAAAGCCAATGGTAGTTTATTCGGCTTTATATTTGTATGTGTATTGATATCTATTTAATATTTGAAGAATTCTATATTTTTCCGAGTAATATATTGTGCGGCCCGCTAATGCTTTGTATTATTGTTCATGTTGCACAATGTACACGCCTTGCGTCAATTTGACAGTTGACAGTTTATTTATCGCAGTCGACGCTGATTGGTTAGCGTTTAGCAGATGCGAAAAGGGGATGAATGAATAAAACGCATGGTTCCGTGCAGGCTCACCTTTCTTCCAGTGAGCCTGTTCGCAGGCTAGATAAACACTCCTAATTAGTATTCTTTATATAAAGAATACTAATAAGGCAGTATCTATTGTAATCGTGTCCTCATTAGTATTTTTTATATAAAGAATACTAATAAGGCAGTAAATCTATTGAATTTGTAGTCGTGTTTGAAGCCGTTTAATAAACTCGCAGGTCGTGTTTTATTAGGTCTAAACCCACTCGCGCTGCGCGCTCGTGGCTTTAAACCTAATAAAACACTCCTGCTCGTTTATTAAACAGTACATAAAGCACTGTACTTTATATAATAAAAACAGGTTATAAACAAACTGAATTATAAACCCGGGAAACTAAGAAAAGAAAGAGCATATTGCACAGAACAGAATGCGCGACCATGCCCTTGTAATTTCTCAACTTAATTAAAGCCCGTTTACGCTTGCAATTTTTGTTGCGATTTTCGATGCGATTTTCTTATCACAATAGATGTAAACGAGTGGAAACCTGCCTTTGCAATGAATTAAGTAGGGGTGCACCGGATTTGGAATTTTCAAATCCGGCCGGAACCGGATTTACCGGATTTGGACAAAAATTCTGGCCGGATTTGCCGGATTTGAGATAAACCGGTAATGGGGACAATTAGGGATAAATCAGTATTCAAAATGGCGGTTTATGTTTTTTACTATTTTTAGTTAGTGTCAGTTTAGATTTTTGATTGTGTTTAAACCTTTTTTAAATATCTTTTTCTTAATAACTTAATATTTTATAATAATATAAGTGTTTTTTTAATTTTAAAGCTGCCAAATTGATGGTTTATCCCATTCTTGGTGAATTTTTTAAGGCGAAAACAGAAATTTAAATCCGGCCGGATTTTCTCCAAATCCGGCTGGATGCCAGAAAATTCGTTAAATCCGGCCGGAATTCCGGCCGGATTTGGAATCCGGTGCACCCCTAGAATTAAGTATACTTAACAATTACTCGCCGAAGGCGAGGTGATTAGCCGAATTCATATTAGAGACGGGAAACTCGTCTCAGACGGGAAACTCGTCTCAGACGGGAAACTCGTCTAATATGAATCCGGGCGCAGACGAGTTTCCCGTCCGAACTTTCCCGTCTAACTTACCCGTCTAAACAG